CCCCCCCCCAAAAAAAATCCCTCATGGAAATAAAAAGACTTTGTAGGATCAGACCCAGAATTTGTCTGGGGATCTGGAGAACTGGCTAGGGCGAGGATGCTGAGGCAGGGATCTCTTTCCATTCGTGGCTGTAGCATCGCAGAGGCTGTGTCGGCCGCCCTGCCTCTCCGCTGGTTGATGTGGACCCCTGATCAGACACAAGGGGAGGTCTTTGGGGGCCTGTTTGAGACCCTGGATGACCCCAGTCAAATGCAGGAGGAGGAGGAGGAGGAGGAGGAGGAGGAGGAGGAGCAGCTCGGCTAGGAATGCCCTGAAGCTGCCGTCCGCCTGACCTGCTCTACCTAGAGGAGAACAAAGGCACAGGCGGCCTCTGGGATCCCAGAACCGAAGCGGATCCCAGAAGCCCTTCCCGTGATCCCTGCATCCGATCTGCCAGGGGCCCCTGCCAAGGGATGGCCTTCCCACGGAGGGTCGCTGCCCTGTGGCCCTTTCCCCTTGAGGCGCACACAAGCGCCCTTCTCCCACCGGGTGCCCCTTGCTGGTGCCTCCTTCGCTGCCCCTTCCTATGGCAGATGTGCCACCCTGGACCTGGGCACAGGAGGGTGGGGAGGGGAGGGCAAGAACGGAGGGAGCAAAATAGGTACCAGGTCGGAGAAAGGAAGCTTTGCTGAAAGTGGTTCCCACCATCCCCTTCCCTCACCCCCCCCTGCACATCCTGACCCTGATTCATGCACTCCCGTGTGGCTGGGTCCTTGGTGGCCCCAGTTTCTTTCTGGCAGCCCTGAAACTGCAGGGGACCCTCAGCTGCAGCCCACTCGCCTCTCACCAAACCTAGCAAGGTATTTCACACAGAGAAGCAGCTGTGACGATGCCTCTGCACCTGCTGCTTTTTTGCCCTGCCTACAGAGTCTTCCATCCAGGGGAGGCCTTCGCGGGCCCCCTTAAGACCCCCTTTGAAAAGAGCCAGGAGACGAGCCCCGTTGCTTGTCCCATCGGAGGGGGGGGCGCTGAGTTGTGCAGCCGAGTGGTGGGCCGGCATGCCCGAAAGGCCAAGCAGAGCAGCCGGAGGGGAGGGGGCTTTTTCCGAGAGCGGGGGAGGGAGACCTGTCCAGAGGGCTCATCACATGCGCGGGGGGGGTCTTCCAGCTGCAGGCTTTGCCTGGTGAGACAGAGGATGGCGATCAAGGGATCGTCCCAGAATGATGGGTTCCTTCCAGATGTTCGGGGGAAGCAAGCAGGCGTAGTAGCCCTTCTGAAGATGGTGTTTCGGCCCTGTGAATCCATGGCTTGATAGTCCAACATCTTCATTAACTGGAGAGATAATTCTGAGACCGATTCAAGCTTTTTGGCCCCAGAATCAGAGCCAGGCCTGAAATACGAGTCCCAAAGTGTTTTACGTGAATATTTGTTGGATTAACAAGTTATTTGAAGGAAGCTTTTTTTTTCCCCCATTGAATTTTGCTCTATTTTGCTTGCCATTTTTTTTTGTTTTATATGCTTTTTCTTTTCCTTTTCTTTTCCATTTTTGTGCTCTTCCCCTTGGAGGCAGTGAAAGTGGCCGGAGCACCCCAAGCTTATCCCTCTGCTCAGACAGCAGATCTGCGTCCTCTCTCTACCAGCAGGCACCCAAACATTTTCATATTCCAGGTAGGATTCATGACTCCTTTCTCGCCCTCCCTCGGGGCCATCTCTGCAACCTTTTACGGGCTGATAACAAGGACCGTTGGGGAGTGAGAGGCAGAATGAACAAAAATGCCTACGTTGTATAAGATCTAAAATGAGATTTTTTAAAGAATAAATGGCATGTTTCTGTGGAACCATCTGTTCAGCAACCCTCTCACTGGTGAAAAGCCCTTCTGGAAGCATCTGCAGGGGGGGGAAAAATTCCCCAGCATCTGTTCCTTTGCTAACAAGGAGTGAAAAACAGAGAACTCCTGGAGTTTGCAAATTCCCCAACTGAGGTCAGCCGTGTCCCAAGCTGGCTTTGGACAGGAGAATTTCACCTCCGTCTGGGGGTGATGCTGGGGGAAAGATTGAGGGAGGAAAAGGGAGGAAGGAAGGAAGGAAGAAATGGAAGGAAGGAAGGAGGGAGGGAGGAAGGAAGGAAGGAAGGAAGAAATGGAAGGAAGGAAGGAAGG